ATATTTTATATATATGAAATTTTATATTTAATCTGTTCTTTTTGTGACCTGTAACTGATACACAAGCAAGAGATAAGAGACAAAGCTATCTGCCCCCTGGATTTTGCACAGAAGATAACTGGGGCTCAGAGCACTGAGGGAATAAAGGAACAAGACATAAATAGAAGATAATATTCTCTCAATTGGATGCTTCCACCTGTCCTCAGCTTCAGGGGAACTCTTAGCCAGCCTCTACCACCTTCAAGACCCTGAGGAAATCAAGAACAACTGTCCAGTATCTTCACACCCAGTTTCTTCTGGGTCCTTAAGTAACCTGATATGTAAACAGGAATCAAGACCCACGACTGGTCACAGTCGGCAATGTATATTACAAGTGCTCTACTGTTCTCTGACCTGTTCACTTAAGGACCTCACACAGGATTCAAACTTTTGACACCCTTAGCATGTATTTGACACTCTGAGGAAAACAACAATTTCATCCAGTATAGAGGCATCAGCCTAAAAGTAATCAATGCTCTCCCAACATATTTCTCTGCAATCTAACTAGTACTCAGTGTTGTAAAAAATACAAAGTAAATGAGAACTAGTCTTAGAGTTCAAAGTTATAATTTCAAACTAAATAAGAACTAGGCCATCCAAGAATGCATCAAGTATTCAACAACATTTGACTGAAGACAGAAGCTAGGTTCCCCCCTACTACATGTGGTAGGGGTGGAAGGAGATGTGTATCAAAGGAAGGGGAGAGAAGGTGGATCAAACACTCTTTTACTCTATGGGCTGAGCCAGGTTTCTTAAGTTCAGCATGATGATTACAAGGATAATCATTGTGGGAGTTATCCTGTGCATTCTAGGATGTTTAGTAACATTCTTGGCTTCTATGCACTAGATGCCAATAGCACTTCCCTACCCAGTCATGACAATCAAAAATGACCACACTTGAGAAAGAGATAGCTTCTACTTCCTATTGTCTTTTATTTCACACTTCATTTATATTTTGTGTTTTCATATAGGAGAAACTATGCAATATTTAAGCCATGTGTCTTATTTAGGGGATCAAGAGACAGAGTGAGAGGGGAGGAGGGAGAAGAAGGGGAAGAAAAAAAAGAATTAAGATGTGTTATGTACATGTACCAACTCACCACAAGGAATGTAATCATTATTTATTGTAAATATATACTAATAAAAACAGGAAAAAATGTTTCCAGACATAACTAAACATCCTCTAGAGAGGAACATCATCCCCAGTTGAGAAACACTTGAAAAATATTACCTCTTTGGAAGAATATGACTGATTCTATGTATTCAGAAATACTTCCCAGTAATTTGAGAACTGTCTGGGCCATATTTTTCTGTAAGTCTTTCATCACCTACACCATGCTGCCAAAGTCAAGTGAACAACAATGCCATGGGTGATGAAAGGATGTCTTTCCTTATTCCTTAGGGAATCAGTTCACCATCTGGTAAAAAATGTACATTAACAGGGCCAAGATTTACCTCAGTGGTGCTGTCGCCTGCCTCACGAGTGCAAGGTTCTGAGTTTGATCCCCTATACAAAAAAAAAAAGTGTGCATTAACATTTATAGTCAGCCCCTCTTATCCAGGGGCTTCACACAGATTCAACCAACCTTAGATGGAAAATGTAATTGGGCTGATTAGGGTTGCATCTATACTGAACATGCACAAATGACTTTCTTAACTCCTAAACAATAAAACATAACTACTACTTACATAGAATTAAACTTATATTAGGAACTATAAGTAATCTAGAGAAGATTTATTCATACAGCAGGATATGTGTGTGTCATGTGCAAATACTATACCATTTTATATAAAGTATGTGAGCATCCTCAATTCTGGTATTTACAGAGGTCCTAGAACCAGTTCCCTGTAGATATCAAGGGTCAACTGTACATGTATTGTTTTAGATGCAGAGGATGTCAGGTTTTATAGTTTTATCTCCTCAGCTGCTGGGACCGCTCCTGGAAGATCCTTTGCAGCTGTTGTCCCTCTTTGGAGGCTTCCCATGCTGGAAAAAATCTGCCTTAATGAAGGTCACACCTCTTTCAAGGACAGCCTGAACCTAATCACTATGTAGGTATGAAGACCTACTTATTTCCTCCAACTCATGTGAATTGAAGGGCCATGCCAACTCCAGAGCTCCTTGTAAGGCTCTCTCAACTTTTTCATCCACCCAGTCCTACCTCTTTTCTTTCCCTTCCACAGATGCTAAACTCAGAAGTGCTCCCTAAGAACAGCCTGCATACTAATCTCCATCTCAGAATTTGCTTCCCAGGAGATCCATCCTGCTACATTTTATAAGGTACAGTTCATATTCCCAGGCACTCATCTTCATATACATGGTCATATTTTTATTTCCAGGGGCATCCTGCTTTTGCTGTCAGGCCCATCCCTTATCAACCCTTTCAACATCATTTTTCAAAGAGCCCTAAACAAATTACTTGTACACAATGATCCTATCCAGCAAGTGTTTAAATCCCAGTGAGGGGAAAAATAATTAGAGACCCCTTTCTGTGGACTTAGAGCAGTTCTTTCCTTCGCAATCCATCATTTGGCTTGGCCAAAAGCACAGGGCTTTATCCTGAGCATGGACTAGTATCACACACGATGACACACACTCATGACTCCTAGCCATCTCTGGGGAAAAAATTCACTGTTCTCCTTTTTGCTCAGGAAGAATCAGGCAGCTGACATTCCACAGAGGCAAAGCTGGAGCTTTTAAGTCTACCCTCTGGTCTAATTTCCTACAGAGCAACTTTTAACTGCTGCTTCTTTCTGTCCAATTTTAACCCAAATGTTTCACATGTTCTCTCTGACTTCCCTAAATAACTGAGCTTTCTTTGCCCTTTTGTTCTCCTTATTTTCACCTCTTAGCCCAAATAGAAGTCTTTCAGGATACGGGCAGGAAAGTAGGCCAGTGCAATGTATGTGAAATTTCCATTTCTGGCAACGGCAGGTCTGCCCCTAAGCAAAATCACAAAAAAACAATGTGTTTTCTGGCCCCAACCTCCTTTTTCTAGTGGCTCTCTTCTTGCCCAGGTCCTAAGTCTGCAGTGATCACTACATGGGCCAAGAATTAGGTACCCCTTTAGCCCTCTGCACTTTCTTGTCTCTCTTTTGCCCATTAAAATCTTCCTCCTTTTGCCCCACTTACTTGGCTCCTAGTAGATTCCTGGAAGACTATTAACGTGAATTTGAGTAAATTATGACTGAGTCATAGTGATTTTATGGTGTGTAATTTATGCCCTTCCACAGGGCATTTTTAAAATCAATCTCCAGGAATGCGGGGACAAGTGATGTGTTAGCACTTCATGAAAAACAATTGGGGGCCTTTGTAGTCAAGGTAAACTTTCTCCATTTTGTAAATGATCCTTACAAGACTTTGAGTCACAAATGGTAGCCAACCTGAGTGATGAGACAAGGACTTCCTCCTGGAGATTTTTAAGTCCATCCTCTAGTCTAATTTCATATGGAGTGACCTGCAATCATGTTCCTACAGTGACTTGCAGTACAAAACAAACCAACTAGCCCTTCCATTCTCATGCAAGGAATAAAGTTACTGAACATCTCACTCAATGAAGCAAGCAAATAGATAAATCCAATGCTTACAAATAAAACTGGATTGATTTTGCTAAGGTGACTAGTTGCTTTTGGTGTTATTAGAAAAAAAACTGGGGGCTGGGGATTTAACTCAGTGGTTCTGCTGCCTGCCTAGCAAGCACAAGGTCCTGAGTTCAATCCCCAGTACCAAAACAAAAAGAAAAAAAAAAGGATATTAGGGCCAGGGATTTAGCTCAGTGGTTCTACCACCTGCCTTTCAACCATGAGGTCCCAAATTCAAACCCTGGTACCAAAAAAAAAAAAAAA